TTTTTTATGCAAGCAAAATTCAGGGAAATTTGTGTTTCACATTATGGTCACAAAAATCAGTTTATCGAATAAATTGAAGTTTTCAACGATAAGAATTTGTAGGGATTCGCCTTGATCTCCTCAAGATATGCAAAAACGAATTTCGCAATTGGAAGATATGGTAACTGAATTACGTTCATTTATGAAGCAACGTGGACAATCAGATTTTGAGACGGACAACGCATCATCCCCGAACATTTTTACGACATAAGATGGTAATATGTCTTATATTATCAGGTCTTTTTGTAAATTAAAAAAAAAAAAACATCTTCTAAACTTGTATATTAAAAGTCGATAATAATAAATATGTTTCCGATACTGAATGTTTTGTTTGCTGCCTCTACATAAATCTGGCAGCTTAGCAGATGTTTCCAGTTATAGAGGGTGAGTGTCATTCCAAATTTATTTAAAAAATCATTACTGATGTAATTTCCCATAAAATTAAATCTGTCCTAAGTCCATTCCAACATAGTGGACTCTCGACTACTACTAATCTTATCCACTTTCAGAGGTAATTAAAGGGTTTGTTCACAAGAAACAAACTAATACAATTTATGCCGATTTCAGCAAAGGTTAGGTTACTTTAATTCAAACTTGAACGTATATGATTTAATAGAAGCTTGGTTTTATGGATTTCATACTATACTATGAATACTATACATACTTTGCGAGATAAGTCATAAATACTTTTGTTTGAAGGTTGTCATTCTAAATCTATCGATGTTCCATCTGGTGTTCCACAAGGAAGCCATCTTGGGCCAGTTCTATTTCTATTGTTAATGATATACCAAATTTAATTGAGGATTCGAAATTATTAATGAACACTGATGATGTAAAATTATTCATGACTCATAAATCTCATAAAAATGGTTGCCCCTCGGTCGGCAAAGGTGGGTTTGCTAGACGTGTCGAACGTAGTGGCAATATTACCGGAATCACGTTCGATTCCGTATATGTTCAAACGTATACGTACTTTGATGCAGTTCCAACAACGGTCCACACAAATGCTTCGGCTGGCTTACCAACGTTCACATCTTCATTGCAGGGGCATGCTCAACTTCCACGAAATACAATGCAAAATGAAGTGACGTCACACTACATGTACCAACACACACAACGACAAATGTTAATTTCATAACAGCAACACCGTCGCCATAAATGTTCATGCAGCAGAAAATGGGTATGTTCAGTCAACGCAGTCGCACGACGTATACATCAGAGGGCTGCAACGAGTATCCAAAAATTCAACCACACTCGGTTTCTTACTTAATTTTTGTTGATGCAGTCGTTTAATTTGATCTGAATGAAATGATATTTTTCGCATCGGATCGAATCAAACACTCAGTTTGAATCACTTCACTCACAATTGTTGCAAGTAGAAACTACACACGTGTATGTAAAAGAAGAGGTCGATGTTTGTGAAAAATCTTGACCAGTATTGTAAAATAAAAAAAATATTTAAACATTTTTTGTTTATTAAATACCATTGATGTGTTTCTTTATTAAAAATATTAATTTTGTTTTTTTAGAAATAAGTCACTGAAGCCTAACATACCAAAACACCAATAAAATGAAAAAATTGTCTGTTTAGTAAATAAAATTTGTAACAATTTTTTTAATGGGGACAGCTTTTAGTTATGAAATCCTTAGTAAAATTACAATCATGATTTCGCTCAGATTCGAACATTTGTGTTTTGAGCAAATCAAATCACTCACTTAACTAGGATGAATCAAACCGATCAGACTCACCATAGATGATCCACCCTTTATGAACAATTCGTAAACAAGTAACTCATGTGAGCTGTTTGATTGGGAACACAAAACTTCGATCAATACATGTTTCATCACAACTTTTTCGTTTGACTTGAGCAACTCGAATGAACATGTTACATCTGAGTTGAGTTGAGTTTGATTGTATTTCCACTGTGTGTGATCAATCATACTCATTGCAGCCCTCTAGTATGCATGTAGCCACCGATAATGTCAACGATTGTAATGATGCACTGCAAGCATAACGACGCAATGTTATGTTCAGCAGAATCACTTTGAAAACGTAAAAAAGATAATTCAACTGTTGCCAGTTCTGAATCCATCATCTGAGGAATCTATCAAGCCTTCGCAATTTGTACAGCGTGTTGAATTATTGAAGATCGCATAAAACTGGGACGATGCATCAGTTATATTTGCAGTGCAACAGAAAATGTCGTAACTGATTGTGCAGCAATAACAAATAAAAAAACAACGAAGGAACTACCACCACGAGTAACGATGAAATTATTCGAATTCAAGGACCACACATGGCACACGTTTCTGCCCTTGGCCTGATTTACCACCAACGGAAATGGAACTAGCCGGCTTCATAATGACAATTAATAATAATGGTTGTATTCTAACGAAGCACCTGAATGGCGGAAGTTAAAGAAAATTATGATGGTACTGCGAGATGAATACAAATCAGAAGAAGAAACAAAAAATGGACTACGATTTGGCGCTAATGATGATGTTGGTCATTATGGCTTGGAGAAGTCTCTCGAGAATGAATGAAATGTTTAGCTTTCCCCGTATTAGGAAATATATGAAGGAGTACATCGCAGCGTGTGTAGAATGTTGTTATGACATGGCAAAAGGCAGTAAGCACGGAGGAGCTTTATATTTTAGTGAAGAAGAACCATTACCATTCAGGCAAGTGCATATTGATTATTTGGAGCACGGGCATGCGCATAATTTTTGCATATTTACGATAAATTATTTGGTTTAATATGTTATTTGTTAAGTTTTAATTAATCATTTAATTTGTAATATGTTAGGGTATTGTAGATAAGTTATGGGCGCTATGGGCTCACTTATATTTCTTTGTAAGGAAAATAAATGAAACTTTTTGCAGCGGAAAAGAAACCTTTTGCAGTGGAAATGAAACCTTTTGCAGCAGAAATGAAACCTTTTGCATTTGCTTCGATCAATTCTCATAGGATAATGGCACAGGGTTCTCCACTATCATTATCAAACAATTAAAAATATAACATTGCCTGTACGCAGATGACTTATATATAATGAGCTGCAACAAAGATAACATTATAACCAACAACATTTTTACTAGCATAATTTGCGATATTTGCAATTGGACCAATACATCTGGTGTCAAATAATCTTCTACAAAATCCTCTATTCTTCTTATCTGTAGTAAACACCATTGCAATCCTACAGATTGGAACGTAAATGGTTTTAACATATCCTATGTGAACAATATAAAAATCCCAAGGATAATTTTCGAAAAAAATATATAGATGGAAGTAATATATACTTAAGCTTATACTTGAGATCTAACATCGCCAAATACCTATCATCCAAAACTTTAATCCATATCAACAGTTCTGAAACTTCTTAGCCTAGCACAAAAAGCGCGGTATAAACAGAAAAAGAAAAGTTTTTTGGAAACTTCCATCTCTGTTATGAACATATGTTAATTTGCGTGCTGTCATTAAATATTTATATGAAAAAGGTTTAACGGGATAAGAAATGCATAACGTGTTCGTACAATATATATATATATATATATATATATATATATATATATATATATGTATGTAAATTATTCCAGTGACAGTTCATTATGGGGAGAATTTTATTCTTTATTCGTGATGGAATGATAGTGTGATTTTTTTTATATTTGGCTGGCCAGAAGTGGCTATTGTTAGACTTCGCTTGGCCGAAAGTGGTGAACTGCCGAATTTGGGATTCTCCGACGAGAAAACATTCGTTGTCCAAACATTCGTTGTCCGCCATAACAGCCGATGGTCGCTCTCCGCTCGTATTAATCGACCGTGGCATCAAAATTAATTCCGAATATTATCGAGAAAATATTCTGGAGGGTGTATTAAAGAATTGGGCACGAAAAACAATTTGGCCGCAGACCTTGGACATTCTATCAGGACTCAGCACTATTGCACTCAGCACGCGCTACCTAAGAATGAGGTTCCGGGCTTAATTTCCAGCGCACAAAGGCCCCCAAAATCTCTGGATACCAATCCGTTGGACTATTGTGTGTGGAGTATTTTGGAAACCTCAAGCAAGCGCTTCGCCGGGAATGGACCAAAATACTGCAGAGTAACATTCAGGCACTGCAGTATGACGGTTTCATTGGTTTAAAGGCCATAATTCGTGCCTAAGACCAATTCGAACAAATCTAAACATATTCTAAAATTTGATGCTATTTGCGACATTTTTTGCTTTCATTCAAAAAAATTTATAAATTATGGCGTTTGACTTTGTTGCAGTTCTCTTATCTCACCCTGTATACTCCATTCTAAGCTATCTTGCCATAGAGTATTTCCTTCATGGTTGTTTTCTAATGAAGCTTGCAACATATTTCTAGGCACGCAAGGGAATAGCAATACACACAAAAATGTTTATATGCTCAATATGTCAAATGCTTCAAAAACCAATTCCATTACTTCATATGCAGTTGTAGATGCCAATGGAAATATAGCATTTTCAGATTAAATGAAACCTTTTGCAATTGAAATGAAACTTTTTGCAGCGGAAACGAAACCTTTTGCAGTGGAAATGAAACCTTTTTTAACCGGAATGAGACCTTTTGCAGCGGAAATGAAACCTCTTACTACCGAAAGGAAACCTTTTGCAACCGAAAAGAAACTTTTTCCAAATCAAATGAACTTTCAGATTTATTGAAGGAAAAATTACAAAAAAAATTATTTTTAGTAGGTTTAAAATTAAATCAACTAATTATAACTAATATATAGTTAAAGAGGAATTTTTATTGGATATTAATATCTATGTTTTTATAATAGTATTTCAGGAAAAAGCAGGACTCAACTTCGTCATCAAATAACATCAATTAATTTTTGCTACATATTTTTATACCCACCTTGGAAAGAAGGGTATATTAAGTTTGTCACTTCGTTTGAAACACCTATCCGTCGTAGAATTGATTATTATTTTACCTTTTTTGAATACCTCTGAAAATAAAAGAAATTATTTTTAATGATTTATTAAATTTCCTTTTTATGGTTGACAACTCTATTTCATGCAAAAACATATCTGTTACATACGTTGTAATTTTTAAAGTAAATAGAAAAAGAAAGTAATAGTAAATGAATTTAAACGCATTCCGCTTTAATCTGTAAATTCCAGTGAAACGGGTTGAATAATGCAGTTAATTACTAGGCTAGAACCATCAAAACAACGAATATCTTTGGGACGAATATGGGTGCTATAGTAAAACGTGGACCTATATAGATTATGCTCATCCACAGGAGGTAAAACCCGTTACAAACTCTCAGTACCAAATTTTGAACACTTCCGTGGACAAATTAAAATACCGAATATCGGAGGTACTGGGTCACGTTAAAATAGTAGTAAATACATTTTATTGCATTCATGTAGAGAAGTTCTTTTATATATTAGGGTATGCAATCCTGTAATTAGAGATGTAACGCATTTCGAGATTGTAAAAGCGAGTTAAACAAAGCCAACCTGACAACACGAATGGACTTAATCTCTGAATAATATTTCGTAATAAAGGCTTATGTTTTTTATGCAAGCAAAATTCAGGGAAATTTGTGTTTCACATTATGGTCACAAAAATCAGTTTATCGAATAAATTGAAGTTTTCAACGATAAGAATTTGTAGGGATTCGCCTTGATCTCCTCAAGATATGCAAAAACGAATTTCGAAATTGGAAGATATGGTAACTGAATTACGTTCATTTATGAAGCAACGTGGACAATCAGATTTTGAGACGGACAACGCATCATCCCCGAACATGTTTACGACATTAGATGGTAATATGTCTTATATTATCAGGTCCTTTTGTAAATTAAAAAAAAAACATCTTCTAAACTTGTATATTAAAAGTCGATAATAATAAATATGTTTCTGATACTGAAATCGCTGAATGTTTTGTTTGCTGCATCTACATAAATCTGGCAGCTTAGCAGATGTTTCCAATTATAGAGGTTGAGTGTCATTCCAAATTTATTTGAAAAATTAATTACTGATGTTATTTCCCATAAAATTAAATCTGTCCTAAGTCCATTCCAACATAGTGGACTCTCGACTACTACTAATCTTATCCACTTTCAGAGGTAATTAAAGGGTTTGTTCACAAGAAACAAATTGATACAATTTATACCGATTTCAGCAAAGGTTAGGTTACTTTAATTCAAACTTGAACGTATAGGATTTAATAGAAGATTGGTTTTATGGATTTCATACTATTTGCGAGATAAGTCTTAAATACTTTTGTTTGAAGGTTGTCATTCTAAATCTATCGAAGTTCCATCTGGTGTTCCACAAGGAAGCCATCTTGGGCCAGTTCGATTTCTATTGTTAATGATATACCAAATTTAATTGAGTATTCGAAATTATTAATGAACACTGATGATGTAAAATTATTCATGACTCATAAATCTCATAAAAATGGTCGCCCCTCGATCGGCAAAGGTGGGCTTGCTAGACGTGTCGAACGTAGTGGCAATATTACCGGAATCACGTTCGATTCCGTCTATGTTCAAACGAATACGTACTTTGATGCAGTTCCAACAACGTCGGTAATTCCAACGGTCCACACAAATGCTTCGGCTGGCTTACCAACGTTCACATCTTCATTGCAGGGGCATGCTCAACTTCCACGAAATACAATGCAAAATGAAGTGACGTCACACTACATGTACCAACACACACAACGACAAATGTTAATTTCATAACAGCAACACCGTCGCCATAAATGTTCATGCAGCAGAAAATGGGTATGTTCAGTCAACGCAGTCGCACGACGTATACATCAGAGGGCTGCAACGAGTATCCAAAAATTCAACCACACTCGGTTTCTTACATGATTTTTGTTGATGCAGTCGTTTAATTTGATCTGAATGAAATGATATTTTTCGCATTGGATCGAATCAAACACTCAGTTTGAATCACTTCACTCACAATTGTTGCAAGTAGAAACTACACACGTATATGTAAAAGAAAAGGTCGATGTTTGTGAAAAATCTTGACCAGTATTGTAAAATAAAAAAATATTTAAACATTTTTTGTTTATTAAATACCATTGATGTGTTTCTTTATTAAAAATATTAATTTTGTTTTTTTAGAAATAAATCACTGAAGCCTAACATACCAAAACACCAATAAAATGAAAAAATTGTCTGTTTATTGAATAAAATTTGTAACATTTTTTTTAATGGGGACAGCTTTTAGTTATGAAATCCTTAGTAAAATTACAATAATGATTTCGCTCAGATTCGAACATTTGTGTTTTGAGCAAATCAAATCACTCACTTAACTAGGATGAATCAAACCGATCAGACTCACCATAGATGATCGACCCGTTATGAACAATTCAACGTAAACAATTTAACGTAAACAAGTAACTCATGTGAGCTGTTTGATTGGGAACACAAAACTTCGATCAATACATGTTTCATCACAACTTTTTCGTTTGACTTGAGCAACTCGAATGAACATGTTACATCTGAGTTGAGTTGAGTTTGATTGTATTACCACTGTGTGTGATCAATCCTACTCAATCATACTAATTGCAGCCCTCTAGTATGCATGTAGCCACCGATAATGTCAACGAATAATTATGATGCACTGCAAGCATAACGACGCAATGTTATTTTCAGCAGAATCACTTTGAAAAGTAAAAGAGATAATTCAACTGTTGCCAGATCTGAATCCATCATCTGAGGAATCTACCAAGCCTTCGCAATTTGTACAGCGCGTTGAATTATTGATGATCGCATAAAACTGGGACGATGCATCAGTTATATTTGCAGTGCAACAGAAAATGTCGTAACTGATTGTGCAGCAATAACAAATGCAAAAACAACGAAGGAACTACTACCACGAGTAGCGATGAAATTATTCGAATTCAAGGACCACACATGGCACACGTTTCTGCCATTGACCAGATTTACCACCAAGGGAAACGGAATGATTGTATTCTAACGAAGCACCTGAATGACGGAAGTTGAAGAAAATTATGATGGTACTGCGAGATGAATACAAATCAGAAGAAGAAAAACAAATAAAATCCGAATACGTATTAGAAAAACATCGACTCCACCGGTAAACAAAAAATGGACTACGATTTGGCGCGTAGCAAGTCAGTGTAATGATGATGTTGGTCATTATGGCTTGGAGAAGTCTCTCGAGAATGGATGAAATGTTTTGCTTTCCCCGTATTAGGAAATATATGAAGGAGTACACGCAGCATGTGTGGAGTGTTATTATGACAAGGCGAAAGGCAGTAAGCACCATCTTCTGGTTTTTGTATATGGAGTCATTAATACTGATTTCATCTTCAAACGTAATCAAATATGTACCGGTAATTATTGTTACGGTTCCTTCTGGGTTTTTTATAGTGGCTCTGTTGTCGTTTATTATCATGACGCCATTATCGACAATCTCCAATGATTCAAGATGACTTGGTCTTGTGCTGCAGTGTGTTATAGTACCCGAATGAAGCTGTTGAGCACAAGTTGGTTGAGAATATTCTTGACAAAATGATGAAGTTAGCGTTGAGGTACAGTTTCCTATTGCAATTATACGATTTCCACAATTAGCGTCGCTGTTGGTTTCAGCAAGATGTAGTATTGTGCCATTATGTTGGACGGGGTGCATAATTATTTTCTTACATACTAATTTGGGCTTGGGATATTTAATAAGAAAATGCAACATTTCATTATACAGTAGGACCTTAATTAGTGATACTTCTAGCAAGTCTGTTACAGTTGTATTTGTTGAACTTATTTGTAATAATTCATTTACATCATCGGAATCTAATATCGTAGGATTAATTACATCTGCTTTTACAAGAGTGATTGATAGCATTAATGTTTCGATTTCCGCAATTGTAATTCTGTTTCGAGCAAGTAGTATTTCGTATAAATACCCTGTATGAATTTGTTCAGGTTTAGCATTTCCAATAATTTTGTTGACAATATCTGTTAACTTATTTATCTGATCCTGTGTTTTAGAGTTGATTGAAACCTGTTTGTTAATTGAATTTATAAGTTCCTTCTGTCGAAATTTCTGTTCCTCAAAGTCGTCAAAATCGGGAGTCCCCGCTATTATTTTTAGTGCTGTTCCCAAGATGTTAATACTTCTCGCGTGTCTGTGGTGAACATACAGTGATTGTAGGAGGGAACGTATTCGCTTAATATCAGACTCGAGTATTTTCACCATATGCGAGGAGGGGAAATGTTCCATAAGTTTTTCGGTTTTGTCCGCAATTTCCAAATATATTGTCAGATTTGATGTATGTCGTAGGTAGTCAAAGTCCTGCCAAATTATAACATCCCCATCTTCAATCGGTATGTAGTCGGAGCCAGAATAGTCAATTAATTTTGTGGTATGGGGTCTGATAAGACACATCATCAAAGTCCTAAAATTTGTTTAAAAGATTTGTTAATTATAATCGGATTATACAAATTTTGAATTATCTTATGTTGTCCTTGTGGACCACCCTCCCTCTAATAAGAACTGTAGTTCGTAGATCGGCTTCTATTGTTTCTTCAGAGTATAACGGGGTCAATTTGTTTCCTAGCCTTTTGTTGTTTTTCACTAGTACGGACTCACCAACTTCAAATATTCTGTTGTTGCTTTTGAAATGTTTTGAAATTTTTTCTTTAATTTCCTCCCTTAATTCGGATGAGGGGAATTGCAAAATATCTATCGGTCGCTTGTTGGTTATTGAGTGAATAGTCCGATTATATTTTATGGTTGCTAGTAAAATAAGGTCAACTGTGCTTTCCATTTTCTTTTCTAATTTGAGGCATCTAGCTATTTCAGAAAGTGTGCTATGAAAGCGCTCGACTTGTCCATTTGATGTGCTATGAAGGGGAGCAGCGTTTTAAACTTTAATATTAAATTGGTCCCGTAACAGGGACATAATAATCTCAGATTTTAGTGAAGGTTCGTTGTCATAGTAAATATTTTCCGTGTGTG